GGCCGGAGCTCCCGCCGTGGAACATCTGCCTGCCCAGTGGCCTGGCGAGCTGTGCTGGGGTGGGTGTGGCCGTGGGTGGGGCAGGGACTCCAGCCCTCAGCGCCTCCTTCCTCCGCCCTGGTGCCGGGAGCTGGGAGCTGGGAGGGAGAGGCTGGGCCTCCCCACTTAGCCAGGCTGCCGGGGAGGGTGGGAGGGAGCTGGCAAGGAGCCAGGCCAAGAAGGGTTGAGTTATCCCAAAAATGCCGCTTGGGAGAGCCCTCAGCACTGGGCAAGAGGGGGCACTCCCTCTGGAGGCAGCAGGTGGGCAAGGTGGCAGAGGGCCCCAGAGGGGGAGGCCGGGGAGGGCCTGAGGCCTGAGCCGTCCCTCCAGCCCTCTTCCCAGCACAGCCCCTTCATGGTGGCTTCCCACCAGCCTGCAGGCCTCCCCCTCACCCCTCGGGCTCCCCCACATCCTGCCACCAGGGAGGAACCCTCTCCCAGGCCTCGCCTGGAGCACACTGGACTGACCCAGTTTCCTGGGCCCACTGAGTCACCCCGAAACCTCCAGGGGCAGTGGGCAGGAGAGGAGAAGCGGATGGGGTGCGAGGTGTGAGCCACGCGCTGGCGGAGGGGCAAGCCTGGCGTGTTTATGGGGAGGATCCGACACACAGGCTGGCACGCACCGACTCGCCCGCCCAGCGGCTGGCAGCTGTAGGACTGGGCCAAACCGGTTGGGTGAGGGGCAGAGAGCAGGGGGCGGGGCGGAGGGCCAGCTGCTTCCCCAGCCCTCCGTGTCCCAGTCCGCGCCTCCCCACACGCACCGTACATCTTGCCCTCGTCCGACAGGATGATCTTGCGGCGGCCGCAGGGCGGGTAGATGGCCAGCGCCTCCTGGAAGCTCTGCTCGATGTCCGGGCTCCACACGCCCTCCGCATCGTTGTCCAGCCCCTTGTCCAGGCCCTCGGGCCCATCCTCCCGGGCTTCCCCGGGGCTGCTGCTGGCGGTCCAGCTGTTGGACGCTATTGTGCTGGTTTCTCTGGGCTCTGGGCCTGAGCCCACCGGGCAGCCTGAGCCTGCGGGGCAGACGAGAGGGTGAGGGCCAGGGTCCTCCCAGGCCACAGCCACCTCCCCGCCAGGGGCAGGCGCCCGGGCGAGGCGGAGGTCACCAGGGGTGAACTCTGCCGTGTGACCTGGGAGGGGTGAGTTTGCCTGTCCGACCCCTGGTCCTGTAAAAGGAGGAATGGGTCTCCCTGAGGTTGTGGGGGTTGAAATTGGATCGTGACAAGTGCCAACCACGATGCCTGACTCAACACTCGTGGTCAACAACAACAACGCCTTCTAGCTACACAGCCCGCTCACTCAATCCCCAAATCCAAGGCGGGGGCAAGGCGTGATGCCCATCTTCCCGGTGAGGACGACCGAGGCTCACCAGGCCACACGGTTGTCAGAGGCAGCAGGACGGGCAAGGGGAGAAGGGTCGGAGGGGCAGCCAGGTGTCTGCAGCTCTGAGGGGCTCCCGGGCTCCTCTGCCAGCTCCTGCTCCTGTCCCGGGGATCCCCAGCCCTCCTTCTCCCCAGCATCCCTGCAGCCCTGCTGAGCACCTGCTGGGGGTGAGGAAGGGTGAGGCTTGCCTTGCCCAAAAGATAACTCTCGAGAACCCTGCCAAGGAGCCTAAACTTGGGGCAGCAGTGCCCCAAGAATTGCAGGAGCGCCACTGGCTGGCACGGGAGCAGCCCAGAAGGTGCCTGGCCAGCAGCCTTGCTCAACCCCACCCGCTCCTCCATCCCACTTCCTGTTCCCGCACCTCTGGGCCTACAGCAGCCCATAAACCACCCACATGCCCGCCCCTGTCCCGGCTCACATGGTGGACGGGCCAGGCTCTGTAAACTCCGAGATCCCTGCAAACGCCAGGCTGGGTGTTAATTTAGACCACACCCACCCCGTCCCAGTCCGCCCCCCACCCCAGGCAGCCCCAAACCCTC